GCAGCCCCCATTAGCATCCCTGCGCGCCCGGCCCCCTGCCCAGCCTTGAACTTGGCCATGCCGGGCTGCGCTCCTTCTGCCTGCCTGGGCTCGCACAATGCCGGCCTTGACCCATTGTTTGCTTTTTTCGGGTTTCAGCTGGGAAAGCGGCCACCTCGCGCAGCCTGCCCCGAGCACGCCGGGAGCCGGGCACAATGGGGAACCCTGCTCTGCAGGCAGAAGGGCTCCAAATCATTTGAGAGACATATTCATTATATTCTTTCACGGGGGTCTGTTTGCATTGGGTTTAGCGGTTACTTCCCAGACAGGGTTCAGACCAAATAAAGATCGTTTAGCGGTGAGGGATTCGCTCGGGCTTTCAGGGAAATGTGCCTGATGTGGGGCACGGCGCAGCCCGGCCGCTTGGCTCTCGGCTGCTCCCGCTTCCCTGTTGATTTGCCTGGGTTTATTTTGTGCCCGTTGCCTCCTCCATCCCGAGACTGCACCAAATCACACAGCTCACTTTTGCAAAAGGGAGAGTTTATTTTCAACAGTGCACGGGGCGGGGGGATTTTAACGGGAGAGAATTACAGCCAGTACGTTTCTCTTACAGGAACAGAGAGGGTGCAATAAAACAGCAGCAGGGATGCTTGGCCCGGACAGACTCACGGTCTTCTGGGCCCCGAGCACAGCGCCGTCGGGATGGCTGCGCTCCCGCAGCTCCACACACCCAGGGATGAAGAGCGGCAAGGGCCGAGCTCTGCTCCATGAGCAAAGCCAGGTGCTAAAAGCTCCCTCCAACCTTCACACACCCGGTATTTTGCCAGGTGAGACAGTGCCTTGCTCAGATCCCTCTGCCTAAGCACTGTGGGCCTGCTCTGGGGTATTTAGGGCACCGAAGACAACGTAGAGGAGTGATGCGGGATGATCCCCTGACTCCCTGTGTTGCGCTGGCCCCCTCCCCATCGCTGGACCGGCGTGATTCGAAGCGATGCAGAAACCCTCTGTGTTCTTGAGCCAAAGCTGCCTCTTCTCTGCAGCCACCGGAGAAGCAGGTCGGGACCCTCCTGGAGAAACCTGGAGACGTCAGACGGCAAGTCCAGGCAGGCAGTAGCCAACTGCAAGAAGGAACTCACAGGCTTGAAAAGTCCCTTCTCCACTCACTGGGATCTAGGAAGGAAAGGAAAAAAATGGAGCGGTTATGAGCTCTGGCAGGGAAACGGTCCAGCAGCACTCGGCTGAGAACAGACCAACTCGGCTCACTGATGGAGCGAAACTCCAACCCCCTTTCCCTCCTCACCACGTTTCCCACGGCTACGGGCCACCTTGCCCCCTTCCCAACTGGGAAAACCGTGGTCCCCAAGATGCCAAGCTCCCCCTGCGCCTGCCTCACTCCCCTACCTCTGCCTGCCCCGCACACCGCCAGCCAGGCGAGGGCTTGCCGCTTGTCCTTTCTCCCTAGGCTTTGGGGCATGGGATTACTCTGCATGTCAGAGCCACTAAAGGCACAGCCCTCTGATGTTTTAATCTTCGTGTTAACTTTCCCTGCCCTTGGCGCCCTTGCCTGGCTGGAGAAAGTGATACCGAGCCACCGAGCTGGAGCTGAAGCTGTGACGCTCAGTGAAAGTCCCCTTCTCGGCTTTCCCCGCACCTCCTGGGTTTGCCCCACACATCTTGCACCTTGCATCAGGTTCTCCTCCCTTTTTCCTGATTTTTTTTCTCCATTTCCTTTGCCCTTTCCCCCTGGCGAGTGCGGATCCCCTAGCACAGCCTCCGAACCCAGTCCCATCCCTTTGCCAGCCTTCCTTTGCTTTGCCTATAAACTGTTATGCTGGAAGGAGTAAAGACTAATATAACTAATTCTTGAATACACTTGGATCCAGAGTGCAAAAGGAACCATCAGCTGGCTAATTTATTCTTTTTATTGCACCAAATTGTAATTTTATAAAATATTGCAAATTTTATAAAATATTTGCAAGCCCATTTTAAGAGATAAATCTTCTGTGTGGCTCTCTAATGAGCCGCCCTGGGAGTAGCCGGCATGTGATCTGCTGTAGGTCGCATCGCCACGTTCCCGGGCTGCGACTGGATGAACCACCGTAACTCTTTGAACTGTGCAAATACTCTACACTCTGGGGTCCAGGCTGCAATTTTCATGGGTATTTTTTCTCTCTCTTAAAAATAGATCTTCTGTAACCCCTTTATTGCAATATTCATAAAGCACTTGATGGAAATCCGAGGAAAATCCCTTCCCTTTCGCAACTTCGAAGCAAGCCTAAAACTTGAGAGGCAGAAGGCAAACCCACCGCACGTGCGTGGGGTTGGGGAAGGACCCCAGCCAGTCTCTGGAGAATTAGGGTGCTGAGAGGACAGACCCCCCCGCTGGCGTGCGTGTAGGCAGAGCCAGGCTGCAAGAAGCCAAGGCTCAGCACTGCTTTATCCTACGTGATATTAGGAGTCACCCCCAATGCCCCCCCAAAGGCTGGCAAGGATGCTGAGGTCAGGGCAGATGAGATCTGAACGGTGGCTGAGCTTGCTGCGACCTGCAGAGAAACTCATCTATGGTGCAGATAGAGAGGATGCTCGCTGGTACGAGACATCAACCCAACCCTGGAAACGATGCCCTCCCTGCCCGGCGGGTTTGCACCTTCCAGCACTTAGTAACTGGGGGCAGGAGGGGCTGGACCGACCCAGGTGATTCGACATAAGTTTCAGGAAAGCCCAAACCTCCTGCACGCACTTTCTCCGCGGGCAGAGTTCAGTCTAGCGTTGCGGGTGCCTGCAAAAACAGGGCTGCACCAGGACCCGATCCCAGCCCTGCCTTCCCTCCCCAGCGCCCCGCGCAGGGAAAGCATCACGCTAAGTAGCGTGTGGATTCATTATCCCTCTCTTTTTTTTAAAAACGATGCATAAATAATTGCAATTACAGCTCAGCCTCTGCCCCAGCACTTGCTCCTGTGCCTCCCCGTGCCCTTACAAAGCCAGCGCTGAGGTTTATACGCTGACAAACTGCCTTGCCATGGCTATTCTAGGTGGTGGGAAGGGCAAAAAACCCCTCAAATAATGGCAAATGGATGCAGGACTCTCTGCCTAATCAGATTCCTATCCCCTATTGAGGCTGGGAAGGAGGGACCCCGCTCCTCCCCTGCCCTCAGCCCAGCCTCCGCTTCACCGGCTCACACGGAGAAACTTTCTGGACAATTTAATCTCGCCAGGGTGTTACTTAGAAAAACCTTTTTCACTGTCAATTTTTTTTTTTGCCCTCCCTTCCTTCCCTCCCCCCCTTTTTTTTTTTCTTCCCTCCCAGCCTTGATTGAATTTTGCAAGCCCCTGATATCTTTCTTTTTTGTAGGGATGCACGCTGCTTATGCAAATACCAGCCTTTCATACCGCCTCCCTGGCTCAAGCCCTCCAACTTGAATGTGACCAAAAGCTGTGCTCTCCCCTGCTAACTCCTTAGCACAATTACACCTCCATTCTGCTCCAGGGGCCCAGGGAGGGGGAAAAAAAAAATCATTTTAAACTAATAACACGTGCTGTTTGCTTTGGATAATTACAAGGGAGCTTCGGCTTCTAAGAGCTATGAAATATTCTGTTCGGCGGGGCGGGAGGGAGGCTCCGTGTTACGCCTACGCTGCGAGTTTTATCTCCTGGCGGAGATGCTCGCATGGCCTCTCGAGGCTCCCTCCATCTCGCGCTCGTCCTGTGCACCTGGGCAAGCATTTACATTTCCTACAGAGGAACTTCTCGGCGCTTTGGGCTGCGGGAGAGAGGAGAAGGCGGCTGACATTTTTCTTATCTCAAGTTACAATTTCCTGCAAGCATCAAGATAATAAAACATCGGAGATGGGCAAGCCGAGCAAAATGAATGTGTTGGCTGGCTCTCCCGCGGCACCGTAGGGAGGACCGGGGAGAAAGGACACCCGAGGGATGCAGCCGCTCCACCGGCTCTTGTTTGCATCGCAGCTCTGCTGTTATTGTCCTCCTGCCTTGTCTGCTGGGGAAGTTTATGTGGAGGGCTTTTGCCGGGGCGAGGAGGAGGAGGAGGAGGAGGAGGGGAGTTTTCCCCAAAAGCACCCAGGAATCTGTCAAAAGAGGGACAGAAAAGAGAAGAAGAAGAAGAAGGGAGACAGAGAGTGGGAACGTCAAGGACCCCTGACTAATGAATAGCAAGTTTGCCCTTGAACCTCCCTGGGCTTTGCCATTCCCAGGCTCCAAACAAGGGCTGATGCATGCTTGGGCCCAGCTGCAGGGGGACCGGGCTATGGTTCATCTCAGACACTTTGACAGCCCGGGCCTTTTCCCCGCATAGCTCAGACTTGCCTAACTACTCCCCTGGCAACAGCTCAGTGCAGGAACCTGCGCTGAGGCCCTGCCTGCTGCATACAGAAGTGCGAGGAGGAGGGGAGACGCTGGGAGAAATTAGCTGGAGACCGGTTTAACCCATCAAATGCTGGGCAGGCGTCGCCAGCCTTGGCACCCTCCGCTCTGTCCCCGGCGCGGCTGGCCGGCTGCTCGCTGGCAAGCGTCCACAGCGGAGCAGGAGAGGGACAGTGATGGGTTAGACGTGCCGAGTCCCTGTGTATCGCAAATCCCATGACCTGCTGCTTCACCAAGACCCGGTACCTTGGACCTGTTGGGGGCTGGAGGTCCTCATGGTGCCAGGGAGTAGGAGGGAGCCGAAACAGCCGGCTGAAAAAGGCCACGGGACACTGAGTGGGAAGGGCATGGCCTCTCCCCGGTGCGGTGGGGACACGGCATCCCTCTCTGCCAGCCAAAACAAGGGCTCGGGCCGGACAAGAGAGGCACAAACTTGCCCCGGCCACTCTTTCTGCATTGCAGATCAAAGGCAAGGGACGAGCTGGCCTTAGGGGTCTGCACTGAATGGCTGGAGAAAACAGGGACGAGCACCCGGCGGCTCCAAAGCACGACCCAGAAACGTTCCCACATCCCAGCCCCATATAAATCAAGGGGGAAAAAGGGGGGGGCTCCATCCCAGCCTCTGTTTTTACAGAGCATCTTTCATGTGCAGCCCCTGAGAGAGAGGGCTTTGCCGAGCTTGTTAAGGACGGCTCCTGCGCCAGGCAGAGAGGGGGACGCACCATATGGAGAGGAGAAAAAGAAAAGGGGACACTGAAAATGGAAAATTATGCAAAGCAGGAGGAGAGGCGCTGGGGGAAGGGGGGGAGGGAGGCAGCGAGGTGGTGGGGGATGGGGAAAGGGTAGGCTGGGAAGGGAACCCTGATGTGGGGGACACCAGCAAGCTGGCATGGGGGCAGCAGGAGGGAGAGAAGTTTCCCGTGACTGGGTGCAGGACAGCCCTTGGCACCTTTGGGTGCCGTCACTGGAAGGCAGCTCTCCAGCCTGGCCTTCCCCAAGCAGGTCTGGGCATGGGGCGATGCCTGGCTGGACCACGGTGGGTGCACTCTGCATCCGGAGCCGTGCCACGCCGGGAGATGCAACAAAACAGGGCCTGCGGTGACCTACTTCAGAGGTGTCCTCAGGACCTCCGTTACTATGGCAATGAGGTTGCGAGCAAACATTATGGTTTTTTTGGTCAAGATTTTTTGCTTTTAATCAATCACAAAAACCGGACTCATGTACCCAGGTGCCGGGGGCCTTGTAAGAAATGGCCCTGAACAACAGCAACGACAGCAAGGGCCTGAAACGCCCCTGGGTCTCAGCCGCCCGCGCAGTGATGGTGTACACTGGGGTGAGTTAAGGAGAATCCGAACGCAGCTGCCAGAGCTCTTCCCTTCCCCTTGGTCCCCAGAGGGTCCTGGTGCCACAGGGCGGGCTGCAGCCCTGGCGTGGTGCAGGGATGCTGGGGATGCTCTGCAGGCACAGGAGGGAGAATGAACTTTCCAGTCCCTCACGTGTTATTGCCCAGCTTGTGCTCAAACACCAGCATCTGGCCTAAAATGGCATTTGGAGAAATGACTCGGCCCTTCCCAACCCAACTGCGGAGCACCTTCTTGCTCTCCTGGAAACCTTGGCCATGTCCTGGCTTCTGGGCTCAGCGCACCTTTGGGAAACCGCCCACCCTGGCAACATCACGGCTCCTCCGTCCCAAAGCCACCCGGCGCCTCCGGCTTGCGGGACTGTGCTGGCTCCCTGTCCATGGGCCAGGACCACCTTGCACACCCTCACTGGGTCCCAGCCCCCTTCTC